GAGAGGGGGGCTGGTCCAAGGCACAGACCCAACCCAAGTGATAATAAGCCAACCTCCCGAGCATCACCGAGCAGACAGAAAAGACCTTTTCCCTCTGGGAGTTTCATTTGCCTTCTACCCCAGTACAAGAACAAACAGAGGCTGGCCCATCCCCTGCATGATTACGCTGAACAAACAAAGCACGGCTCACCGCAGCACAGCTTTCTAACCCTGGACTTTACCTTTGTTTGCAGAGGGCCCTAGGTTTTCTTTGCATTTCCAACATGACTGTTCATTCTACAACTTGTAATATTGATTACAATCTTAAGTAACTAACAAAGTAAACCAAAAAAATAAATAAAATAAGATAATAAGCCCTTTATATCTCTATATTTTAAACAAAAAATGTAAAAGTGTAGAGCAAAATGTAAAGACATTACTCTAATATAATGACTTCTATCTGTTTTAAAATAATATAGAAAGACAATTCATGGGGTGGGCATGAGTTCTGTGAAAGAAACAGGATGTGTTTAAAATCAACTTTATATAAATTGTCCATGCCCTCTACACACCCATCCATCTGCACTGTTACATTATAGAGGATAACTCAGCAATAACTTTATAAAATGGTAATTTAACAACATGTTTTATTTTTATGCAATATGTTGTCTTCAAATATTTTCCTCACTTCCTTCTCTCACAAAAACTTGATTCAGCACACAATATCAGCAAAGAGGTAAGAGCATCTAACACTGGAAATGGTAACTAACTAAAAAAAACCCAAAAGCAACAGCACTGTGTTGGCACCTTTAAAATTTCAATGAACTGAAGGGAGTGTCATCTACATTAACATAAACAGTAACACATTCCAAAAAGTGCAAATGACGTAAGTTGATCTTGACTGCAGTCAGTGGGCGTTGGGTTGGGTGAGTTATCACTATAAGCTTTGTCATGGTCCACTGAACATGAAAGACACTGTCTAGTGAAAAGCAAATGGAAATGTTTTCTATCTCCTAGGCAGATCACACTTCACGACTTTGAAAGAGACCACCCCCCCCCCTTTTTTTTCCACGCCTCTATGGCTTTTCTTTGCTATAATATGCAAAAGTGAGTGGTTGGCGGGTGCTCTGATGTGGTTTGCTCCTTCTTTCAGGTCCTATCAAACATATATCGTCCTTACCCCTCCTCCTTTTTCGTGTACGTTACTCTCTTGTAACACATCCATCCTTCAATGAGAACCTTATTGTGTTGCAAGTGCCGTAAAACTCTTTTGCAGAGGTTCATTCCTGCTTCGGTAAATTTATAATGTACCTCTGTCTCTTTCTATCTGCAGGGATCCTCTTCTCCAAATAGCTCTGCAGGCCTTGACAGGCAGGGCCGAAGCAGTTAACCTCCTAAATCTTAACTGGGTAAATTCAAACATTTTAATCCCTGTTTATTCATAAAAACAAGCTTTCCTATTCTGTGAACATTCACTTGAGTTCTGAAGTGGTGTAGCAAGCCAGAAACAGAATTTGTATCTGCTGACATCAGGAAAATAGGGGCTATAACACCATCCATAGGATTATATCACTGACAGAACATATAAAAATTAGAACATACAGGCCCTGGGATGTGTCCTTGAGCACAACTAGATAGCCCTAGTTCAAAAACATAAACAAATCAGCCGTGTCATCTTTGCGAGACTGTCTGTTGGTGTGATATTGCTTCTCTTATTACTTGACATTGGGTGAATTGCTGTCATGTATGTTTTGTAGTTGCCATTGTAACAAAAATTTATAGTTTTTCTAAAGGAATCAAATTAGTGTTCTGAGAAACATTATTTAATTTTGTAAATAAATATCCTTTACATATATATTTGTTGTATTTTGTTGGTTATCATTTGGATACCCCTTCAAAACCATTATCAGTATTTCAGGAAGAGCAATTAAATGTCTGCATTATTTATATTATAAAAGGCCACCTCTATTCTCACCTGGAGTGAGAATAGTGCAGGCGAGTCTTGTGGCTATTCTCACCCGGTGCGCGTTCACCAAATTTTGCGTTCACCCTAAACCACAGAATTCTACACTGGGATAACAGAAAAATTGTAGAATTCTGTGCCGTGAACAAACGTTCCATTACAAGTGTAGCCTACTAAAAACGTACAATTTTGTCTGTGGGCAGTGGAGAGAGAGAGAAAGAGAGAGAGGAGTAGCGCGAGAATTTCCGGGCAAAACAAAATGGCGAACCGCGTAGTTCGGCTCGATTCGAAAAGTTAAATAGCCGTAGCATCTTTGTAGACAACCAAATAAATTTACTTTTGTGTTTTAACATCATTTTTTAACTTTGTTTTGGTCAATTTGATCGTCCACACCGATAGACAGCATTCAGAAAGAGAGAGAGAGAGAAGAGGGGAGGAGTTGATCTTGCGAGAACTTCCGGGAGGGTGAGAATAGCCACTTTCATTATAAAAATATAATATGATGGGGTAATTTATGATCGTTAATCATTTGTATTGTAAGCAGTGTGGAAAGAAAGATATTTGTTTTCTATCAAGAAGAGGGGCTTCAAGCCAGAAAGAGATTTTCTTTCCATTGGTTTACTTAATTTTTGAGAGAACTCTATTAAAATAAGACATGTAAGTGTAAGTCAAAATCTAAACATTCAGACTGTGTTTCACCCTAGATCTAGTTAATTGCTCTTCACAGTATTTCTACAGGTAGCATTAATTGCGACAGAGTGACGCTGTGACAACTTACGCAGCGTAAATTGTGACAGAGTGACTCTGACAAAAAAAGAAGTTAAAAAGAAAAATAAACAAACACACACACATGCACTCACACACCCACACACACAAACGAACACACACTTGTGGCCTTATACACACACACACCACATACACACACACCAAACTAACAGACAAACAAACAAAGACAGTTGCAGCTCTTTTCTTGTTGTTGTCGCTGTTGTTGCCCCTAGTAGTTTTGTTGCTGTTGTATGCAGCTGATGTCTTGTTCTAATATATTTGTTGCCTGGAGTCAACTGTTACAGAAAGTCTTTGTGGATTTTTGCCACACTCTTTAAGTCAAATTCGTCGTAAGATTTGAATGCCTGCTCTTGAAAGCCTTCCATCTATCTTGTCAGGCGGAGACTAACCTAGACAACTAGGACAACGCTGGGAGAAGCAGAAATGGTAGATCTAGATCTAGATCTAGATCATGTTCTAGAGATCCAGATCAAATCATCAACGCAAAAGAGCTCCGTGTTCACTCTGTCGCAATTAACGCAGTGTTAGTTGGCACAGCGTCACTCTGTCGAAATCAACACTAGACTCTACCATTCATTTCTAATTTTAGCACCTGAATGAATACTATAGGGTGGATTAGCTGGTTTCACCTGCCTGAGGGCCGAGGGAAATAGATCTGAGATCTAAATCAGTGGCCTATACAGTGAAAACAAATTAAAATTTCAACATTGTCCTGTAAAATGTTAAGACAGAATCTTCCACAACAAACATAAAACAGACAAGAAGACTGGGTGAAGAGGGATTCCCGTGGCAGACAGTCAGACAGGCTGATGATTGGTGTGTGTCACTTCACTGTCACTCAGTCTGTCACTCTCAACGGGGGCCGGCGGGGCCATGGGTGAAACCAATCGAACTAATCAACTAATCGCTAATTGATCACACTGAGAAGGGGGGGGGTCATCGGGGAGCAGTAATTAAGTACCTCTTTCGCGCAATCCAATTCCGATCGTGTTGTTTCCAGTTGTGCTTCAAGGTCTTCATAGTGCTGTTGCAGTTGCTGCTTTTCTTCCAAGACAACCAATCCATATTCGGCCGCTTGCAATTTTTCTGTCGTAGTGTCGTTCAATTCTCTGGTCAGCCTCTCGACCTCTCTCTTGAGGTCTTCGACCGACATGAATGAATCACTTGTGGCGGCCATGGCTCGCCTACCGAGCCCGATATATCCTTATCCAGAAAAAGAACAGTAAAGGCGGTTTATTCGACACTCCATGTTGTAAAAGGTGATTCACTTATCAGGCCGCCATGTTACCCCCGATTTATTATGCAGCAATGCCAACCGTCACGTGACCATGGGAGTCGTTCCGGTTCACATTTCGAGCACATATTTTTCAATATCATTATTATGATTGTGTGGGCTATAAAGGTTAATTGATAATAATAATACGGAATTTGAAGGATACGAAGAAAAGTCGGGCTTCATTCAATTACAAGCTTATAAGACCATTGAATTAAGTAGTGTGGCTTGTGGTGGTTTTCCAGAGGTAGAAAATAATTGATCACATATTATGGATGGGTTGTGGTTCACAGTTGAAATATTTTGAGATCACCTGGTATAAAAATATTCTTCTTTTGTGACCCTCTTCACTAAAATATACACAGCATCTTACGTATTCACTTCAAAATGCTCAAATTACACTTTCATAGCAACACAACACCCAGGAGAGCAATTTCACCCAGCCCAGGAGTAAGTTTCAAGCTGCATAATTTATTGAGAAGAAGCAGGTAGTTCAGGTAGATCTTGCACATACGTAGTAGCCTACGTAGCTAACTAGAGTTCTCTTCACGGGTGTGGGCAATATGTCAACATCTACTTCACTGTGCTTCTAACCATTCCTAGAACATATAATACCTATAATATTTCAAGTTGCATTTTTACAGTCGTGAAGAGGAGAAGCTTCGGCTGCACGAAAGAATGTGTAACAGTAATAGGTCAATCAGTAGCAAAGAAGGGAATCAATCATGAAATTGTAATTTACAATTTTGATTTTCCCAATTTTCACGATTATGTCCCTTTGGTCGTCTTCCTTTCGTGGGCAGAGGCCGGGGTTTTCACAAAGCACTCGAGTATTTTCACAGCTCACGCAGCGTACATTGGGATGACATAGAACATTTCGGTTCATTAAGCTTTCTTCTTTAAACGTAAAAGAAAAAAACAGTTTCATAAAGCTTAGATCTAGACCTAGGATGGTTTTTTTTAACAATTCTCTGTCCATTCAGCACCACTTCTTAGACTTAGACGACGTTTGCGAATACACACACTTCTAAATTCAGGGGACGTAAGTCACAAACATTCGGTCAGAATTATCTGTTTCTTCTTCTTCTTGTCCAAATTACGAGGAAGAGAGTGAATTCAGCGGAAAATTAAATTCGCCAGTTGTTGCTGTTGTGTTGCCAGCCCAGTTAGGCCTACCTACGGCTGTATTCCATAATTTGACCAGTGCTGGCAGTATCAAGCCTGCCCCAGTACGGAACAAGAGATCATGCCTCGTGTAAGTAAGCGCATTACTTGTCCACAACAAGGTCTGTCGGTATACCGGTCTGTCTATACTAATAGGCCCTACTTATTTATGAATGAATTTTTCTTTCATCTTCTTTCACTTTCAATCTTTCTATTCAAGTACCAAGGCAAGGCAAGTGAGGGGATAATCCGGTAGTTTTGGCCCCAACGATTTCTATGGAGTGTGGATTTTGGCTCCACCAACGATTAATTCTGGTTCTAATCAATTACTCTCTTCGAAGCTAAACAATCTACTCTTCGAAGTCCATGCCGCCGATAAGATGTTTGGTGCTCAACACAACTTTTTGGCAAACAATCGAGATGACACAGGGGTGCATTTGAATAAATCCGCCTTTTTTTTCCACAGCTCATAATAATATACAGGCATTTCTGGCAGTGATCTATTATATCTATACTTTATTTTAGCACGTTAAATTCCCAAAGTCTACTAATCCCCGACTCAGACCTTCAAAACTTTGAACTGGGCCTAAAAATGCGCAAACTACCGTAATTTTGTCATGTACAGAGTGGTTTTCGGTCTTCCATCATGATTTTGGAAGCCATTGAGTATAATCTTGATGGTATTGAATCTAGATCCAGATCTAAATCTAATAGTGGTCGCTCGTTTCGGAAGTCCTCAATTAAAGTTCGCAGTGGCTACATTCACGGCGCCGTGAACGTAGTCTGCAAGCTAGGTTCACGGCACCGTGAATGTAGTTGGCAGGCTACGTTCACGGCGCCCTGAATGCAGTTTGCAGGCGCTGTTGAAGCTACGTTCACGGCACTCAAGCTTCGTTTAGACGGAGCGTCCACTGCCGGTTTAAGGCATGATGCGAGGGAATTTTTCAAATTCGTTAAGAAGAAGAAACTAAGCTTACAAATGTGGTAGCATCATTGGGTAGCATCAATATAAAAAGAGTGGAGAATTAAGTCATGAAGTAAAATTTTGAAAATTCTTTTGTATTGCTATGGTAACGCCTGCCATATTGGAATGTCATAGAAAATGCACACATTTCTAAAAAATCTATCATAAGGTTATACATGATTTTAAATGTTACAATAAATAAGTGGTTTTGCAGCCTTCCGTGGCTGTTTTAGAGGATAGACTTGGCATTTTTGATGTAGGAGGAAAAACTTTTCCAGAGTCGAGGTCCTAAATATGGGAATATTTTGACCACAAAAATCTCAGATCCAAACAACGGATTAAATTTTTAATAAAATCATTTATTCAAGATTTTTTTTGACGTCACTACTTATTACACTAGAATAATGTTTCATCTATCAGTATACCGAACATTATGACGATATCTTAACAACTTTTCGCATGATAGATTTTTGTGTCTCCCCCCCTCCCCCACCCCCTCCCCTCTGAAAGAGCCCAATTTGAGAGAAAACTCCTGAAAGTTTGGACGTGCAAAACTTACTGTAAACGTAGTCCGTTATACCGTGGCGTCCAAAAGAAACTTGAAAATGTAATCACCCTGTCATCGTGTTAAGGCCGTGCATTACCCACTCATGCAGCATACCAATTTAAAGCTAAATAAATTCTTCATCATCTGACATATTAATATTTAATCTATTTTAAGAGACGCCCGAGATATTGTCACTCAAAATTGACTTTAAAATAAGGATAAGGCTTGGCAAAATTTTGCGAAATCAAAGAAACGTAAAATTGTATTTGCGCATTTATTGAAGAGTATCAATATTGATCGAATGACGATATATTGAATGCCCAATGAATGGAGAATTGTGTCTTTGCAATAAACAATATTTTATTACGATATTTTGTCACGATAGTTTCAAACATAACGGAAAACAGAGCAATCACAGATACCACACAAAACTTCGACTCAATACTAATTGTGTTCATTGTTATTTTGCTTAGGAACCATTGGCTTTGTGTTGTGCACGAAACCTTTGGACATCAATTCAATTTAGTTTTGGACATATTTATCAGTCATTTCATTTCAAATGTCACAGAGAGTTGCAAACAAAGGGTCTGAATTGGGGGAAAAGTCGTTTTTCTTCAGCCGCAGTTACATGGGACTTCACATACCTTTAGGATTCATATCGGGGCTGTTTGCTGCTAACTATTCGAACGTTGACTTGATTTGGTTTTTTTAAGAATTCTGTAATGGCATTGGCCCTATGAGAAAATGCCGTGTTTCGCATGGGGGTGACTACAATGTACTTGAATAACACCTTGACGAAAACAAGGGTAAGACATGACGTTCCAGCACTTGCGTGATGTAGTCCACTAAACAAGGCATCCTGTGATTCTCACGAGAGCGGCTTTGTTCATTCCACCCAAGGAGTTTAGAACTACTTTTACTTTTAAACTCCTTGATTCCACCCCAGGCCACCCAAAACCATGGCAGTTTTGTGGCCTCTGTTCCTCACTGACAGATGTTCAAAATCTTACAGGGTCTGTGTGCAAAAGAGATTTCGAGCTCGGTAAGAAACCAACAGCTCCTGAACAAAAACAAAATTAAAACTTATGAACACAAGTAACTGTTACGTCCAGGTTTTGTGAGGCATTTGCAACTGCTCTGTTTTTCAATCTTCATTAGTTTTCTGTTCTGCTCTTCGTTGTTGGTGTTTTGGAAGCTCTGAAGGGCATTGAACATACGAGTCTCATAGTTGCAAGAAATTTTTTTAAAAGATAACCGTGCTATCAACTTTCCTTGTATCTCTTTACTGTATAAAAATGCATACATGATATGAAATACGTTTGCAAATAGTTTGAATGAAAGAATGAATATCTCGTTCTGGGCCAAAGACATAATACGCGCACGCACACACACACACACACACACACACACACACACACACACAGACACACACACACACACACACACACACACAGAGAGAGAGACAGTGAGAGAGAGAGAAGGTTGGGGGGGGAGAGAAGGGGAGAGAGAAGGTTGGGGAGGGGGAAAGAGAAAGAGAGAGGGGAAAGAGAGAGAGG